TATTTCGCAACTAAAAAAAAAAAAAAATCATTGTCAAGCTGTGGAGGAGGGAGAAGTCGGACTCCCCACCTACAGGCCCTGGTCGAAGAGGCCCGAACCACCCACATTACCTCGTCGCTCATGGCCATGGAGGGACGGGCCTCCTGGGAGAGCCGCCCCACAGCCATCCAGACAGATGTAGTGCAAGGAACTACCCACTAATTATGGTCTCTCTCAAGCTGCTTCTTCTAATTAGTTTCCTTCAAGTTAAATCTTTTCCTTCCTTTTGCTAGTCCTGTGGCTTCTCCCCTTCTCCCCCGGCAGCTCCCTTCCCATGGGAATAGGAACCAGCAGAGGAAGTGACACAGGCCCGGAGGTTGGGGCCCTACCTACAATGAACAAGATCGGAGGTGAAAGCGATTTCCTCCAACTCAGAAATTCTTAACCTGAGGCACAGCATGGCTTTGTGGAAATTATAAAATGCTGCCTCTTCCTCCAGATGGGCCACCCCTCTGAGCACAAGGCTGGATTGCAGCCTCCCTTTTGTCCCTTTGTTCAGTCAACAACCTGCTCAAATGTATATGGAAAACCATCCTCAGAGAATCTGAAGGAAGCTATGGATCTTCTGCCCCTCTCCCCCGCACCATGGAGTCGTTTGTGCATATACCCCCTCACTCTATTTCCTATAGAGTATCAAGAGGCTTCTAGATGACTTTAGAGCCCTAATCTAGCCGGTACTGAAGAAACACAGGAGCTCAGATCCCATTTCTGTCCATCGGTAATGACTTTCATCATGCACCGAATGTTTATAGTGCTCCAAGGACTGGGCCAGATGCTTTATGCACTTATTTCTAGTTCTTACAATTTAAACCTGCCACTAAGTACAAATTGTTTCCCATTTCAAAATGAGGAATCAGAGACTGAGAGAATTAAAAAACCCATCCAACGCCGCACGGCTGATCAAATGGTTAAAGCAAACTTTAAGACACTAGCTTTGTCCTGGAGACTTCTGTCCAGCTACCTGCCTCCAGGCTACCCTCAGCCCATCTCTCCCCAGCTAGCCACAGGCGGCTGTTTGTTCACCTGGACCACCTGACCCCCCCAGCTCCCATCACGGACACAACTCAGACCCGCTTCTCCGGCCCGTCTCACAGTCTCCAAATGAGCATATGCCTTCCCAGGAGACGCGCAGAAATACCACCACCCCCACCCACGCCGTCACGTTCCCGGCTGTAGGCTAACTTCCTTGTTTCCTTATTTAAAATAGTGCAACCAAGGAAACCGTCCTCTTAACGATGGCTACTGGTCCTCCTTGGGGGGGAGAAAAAGAGCAAGCAAGCAAAGTTACCCAGAGACTGAAAACACCCCCTCCCCCTTCACCCCTGCTACAGCAGCGTTTCTCAAAGCATGGTCCTGGGGACACCCAGTCGGTCCCCTGGGATGTGTGTGAAGGCACAGATTCCGGGGCCCTGATCCCACCGCCAAGGCAATCTGGAGCCTTTCCGCATGCATGCTAGGTGAGCCTGATGCTTACTGAGCTCAGAACAGGCTGGTCTGCAGCTTGAGAGAAAGCACTAGAGAGAAAACATCACTTCTGACATCAAGACTTGGAACATAAAATTTTAATAAGTGCAATTTATAAAAAAAAAAAAAAAAAAAAAAAAAAAAAAAAAAAAGACAGTGCTTAGCTGCATGGCTACTTAGTACAAGAAAGGCTTGGTCCCCTAGCCCAAACCCTTCTTCAAATAAGACTATTTTAAGAAAGATTTGATCTGGTCTCTGCAGCAGCCTCCAGGCAGTGCCAGCCCCCACCCTCAGCCCCCCACAGCCTCCGCCCCTCCTCAAGTTCAGCCTGGGACTCAGTCCCCACCTCAGGAGGCTTCTGGGAGCACCTGACTCTTACCTTCTGCAGACGTGAGCAAAGCGACGGTAATGGGTGGTCGTCAATTTGCTCTAGCAGCCAGATCAGACAGTTTTAAGGTCCCCCTGTTCTGCGTCTTCTCACACCCCAAGCCCAGAAGCAATAGGAACTCCAGAGAAAGGCATATCCACGGGGCCCCACACCCCCACTCCCCCCACACCCAGATCTATATATAACATCTCCCAAGTTGTCAGCCTAACGAGCCACTTTCTGGCAGACCCGTTGCCATGGCAATGACTGCTAATGAGCCGGGTGCTGTGATTGGCAGTGCTTGAAGGCTCCCCCACAAAGAACTCTCCAGCAAGTTCTCTCTTCCCAGACACACGGCCAGCCGGGACACCCAGGAGCAGCCAGGCCACGGCCGGGTGTGGCTGGGAGGCACCGGTCCCCAGGAACCACTTTGTCACTAGTGCGTCCTGAGCCGTCCAGGACCTGGTGGCCGGGTCAACAGGATGTCCACCACTTAGCAGCAGTGACAGGGGCTGCAGCCAAGAAGACCAAGCCCCAGCTGGGCTGGGGACTGGAGAGTCCGGTCTGCTGCAGACCTTTCTGCTGGACACCTGTGGAGGATGGAGAGGCTCCTACGCAAAGCTGGGGACAGCTACGGGAGGAAAGGTGCTCTCCCCCCTGCCCTTGGATCGCGACACAAAGCGCGAAGCAGGGCCACCCGCTCCCACAGTTATGCTGCCAGGGTCTGCACCCACAACAGGGGGCACCTTTGCAATCTTACGGGTAAAAGTAGTCCTCTCTCCAGCTCTGGTGGCCTTTGTGTGCAGTCTGAGCGTGACTCACAGAAAAGAGGTGGGGAGGAAGAAAGGGGCCCCTACCAGTGGATCAGTGCATTCCGGACAGTGAAATCCTCGAGAGTAGTTTTATTTATAAGCTGGTGGGGAGAGGATGGACCCTGGCAGTGTCTTCCCGTCCTTCTGAAAGGAAGGGATTTGGAGACCTGTCCAGAGAGAGGAGGAGGAGAAGGAGGAGGAGACCATACAACAGTGAGAAACAGACTAAGATTCAGAAAGACATGGCCACGTCCATCTTGTCCCTAGCTTTAGTCTCAGCACCGTGCCCAGAACATTGGATGGAGCGATGGAAACTTGGAATCATAGTTGAAACTGGTTCCAAACAGATCCGAGGAGGCCACTGCACCAACCAAGTAGACAGACTGGGGGGTCTAAGCAATGTGTGTGCCCCACCCGTAACAAACCCCAGCTCTTCCTGGATCCCAGTGAACGGGCTATTCAACCCTGAGTCCAGGGAGGTGGGAAGACACAAGATAGTATAGTTTCTTTCGCTGTAGAGAATAAATGGAGGAATGGTATCCAGAAGCCTCAGAACAGGCACAGTCTTCTAATCATGACCTCATATGGTATCCAGACGGAAGATTCCAGGAAAACGTTTAGCAACCTCGGTCGAAGGCAGGAAGATATAGCATCCATAATACAAGAGCCAAAACAACAACAACAACAACAACAACAACAACAACAACAACAACACCACATCGTAGGAAGTGGACAAACTAATGCAAAGCAAGTCGGGTGGAAAAAGGAAACAAAGGCTATAAAAAGGAGACAGGAAATTAACAAAATGGTAGGGAAATTTACGAGGCAGCGACAGAGGAACATCCACATGGACTGCAACAGAATATGGAATTAATCTCGCACAAAAAGGGGGAAAAAAAAGAGTCCGTTATATACAAAGCCAATGTTAAGAATTTTTCCTGGTATGCAAAGGAAATGGGGGAAAAATGAAAACAGAGGGACAGAAATGAATAAGCCAAGAGGCAGACTTGTAGAGAGCTAGGTGCTCCTGGAGAAAAGAACCATAAACCATGGTTGATAGGAGGGAAAGGAAAAAACAAAATCCCTCAGCTAAAAGAAGACCTAGATGTGCATCGTGGAAGGAAGGTCCTGCGCTGCTGAAGGCGACATGGATTTTACAAGCCTGATGGCGGACGCGTGGAGGACGATGTATTTACACAACAAAGATAAGGAGAAAGTCTGACAACGCTTAAGTGGGTGAAGGGTGTCCCCAGTAAAGGAGCATAAACAAAGCTGGCTTCGGGTTCTCTGCAACTGGATTTCAGAAGATTCCTCCTTTTAGGGGCACCTGGGTGGCTCTCAGGTGGTTGAGTGTCCAACTTTGGCTGAGGTCGTGATCTCACGGTTCGTGAGTTTGAGCCCCGCGTCGGGCTCTGTGCCGACAGCTCGGAGCCTGGAGCCTGCTTCGATTCTCTCTGCCCCTCCCCCACTCGTGCTCTGTCTGTCTCTCTCTCTCTCTCTAAAATAAACATTAAAAATTTTTTTTAAAAAAGTGAAAAAGATCTAGGAGTGGGACAAAATAAAGCGAGGGCACCTAGAGAAATGAAATCAAACCTCTCTTCCCACCCCAACAAGAGAACATCCTTCTTCCTCTTAGTCCCGATGGCGAGGCCATCAGGTACCTGCCCCATTGGCTCCCATCCTCCGGCATCTGGATCTGCTCTCGCCGCTTTCCTGGGGAATGACAGGTTTCCAGCCAGAAGGAATGGGACGGAAGGGCAGGACTCGTTGGGGACCACAGACCTTTCTTGGTTCCAGGGGTCGTGAGTCTGACCTCCAGCCACCTTTCGTTGGCCCCATGAGCAACAGGCTTCCACAGGGAGTCCTGAGCTCCGGAATCCATTAAAGAGGACAGAGTGGCATCAGAGCCCTTTGCTGGCTAAGGGAAAACTCAGTGGGAATCCAGGCTTCCCCGAGTCCTGATCTGCACCACCCTCAAAGCATCGCCAAGGCCAAAGCCGTGCTCGGGAAACCAGATTGTCTGGCACGATGCCTTCCTTCCTTCTACTCCTCCGTGTGCACCATCTCTTAGGGAACGGGACCCACTCATCAAAGGCCTTGCCAGACCTCTTCATGTGTCTACTCAAACTGCTCTTATAAGAAATCACCTCGGGGCGCCTGGGGGGCTCAGTCGGTTAAGCGGCCGACTTCGGCTCAGGTCACGATCTCGCGGTCCGTGAGTTTGA